TCCACATTGCTTAGAATGTCAACCTGGTTAATCACTTTGAATCTGATTCAAGGTAGACGTTCGAATAATAGGAGAGTCGAAATATTCTAGATTATTCCTTTAGTAGATTTTATGTATGTATATGAAGTTAATCATCTTTTTGTTGCTGTATGAAGTACACCGTATGATATTCAGATAGTTTTTGCGCTATAAAAGCATAGCAGTGTAAGCGAACTTGGCTTTCTAGAACTGTGGTCTTCGGTAAAAACCTACGAACACTGTGTTCATCTCAAAAATAAGTTTTCAACGTTCTGATTTCTTACTTTGTCTTCGCCATCGTTATCACCCTTCATAGATTAGGATAAGTGTTCCGAAAAAAGAGCCAATGCATCGCGACGAGTCATAGCATCGCTGCGGCCCATTCTAGTAAGTGGCCACGGTCCAGATGGAATCCGTTTTCATTGTTGAATTTCCCAGGATACGTTTGCCCGCGGCAACACAAACAGCGTCATTGGGTTCTTTATAACAATTCATCGGCGAAGATCGCAGCTACATAGCCACAAAATAGCCACCGCGTATCGTGGCACTCCAGTAGCAGCTGATGCTGTTCAAGCAGTAGCAGGTTAGTGGCACTAGTAGCCGCGAAGATTGACGACGAATGGGCGAGAGAACAGGCAACAGCGGAAAAGCAAAACGTCTCCTACTTAACGTCGAATGAACTCCCTTCTAAGTTGGAGTGAATTTCAAGGACGTCTCTAGCCCACTGCCCACCGTATTTGGAAATCTGTCAGTCCTAGCGTATAATACGCTAAGATATCCGCACACGGTCACATATAAATACACCCGAGGGGACGAAAATACAGACGCCCTGTGTCGTATAGATGCCGATCCCGATGGGAAAGTAAAAACTGTTGTCGGTTTGTCTGATTTTCCGAGTGACTGGGCTTATTTCGAATGTTTCCAAAAGAAGGAACTACTGCAATGATTTGTAGTGTCATTTAAAGCTGAACGGCACGGTTTTGCTGATGACTACGACAGCTGCAAGCGAGTAGTCAGTCGACAATTACAAGCTGGAACGGGAGCATATGATATATATGTTAAAACAACATCCAGCTATTACATAACAGAGAATTTATTTTTTTTAATCAATTTAAATTAATAATTTTTTTAAATATTTTTCTACTTTTCTATAATTTTTGCTTTTCTGAGAGCAACTGTAATCATATGATAAAAATCTTCTCTTGTTATTATATGAATCAGTCTAAAACAATAATTAATATATCAAAATGAAACTGATAGTATATAGATCGTATATATTATCGAAGATCATTTTGATTTTCGTATTTATCAATGGTACACACTTATATTAGTTGGATCTTGGCACTTGAGTTTATTTGAATTTGATTCAAGCCTTTGATACATTTTTTTCAGTTTCTCTTATACAGATTAGAAGTGTTCTACCACTACATTGAAAATATATAGAATTATGTGATGAAACAATTACTAATCTGTGTTTTCTTGTTTTACAACACTCATCATCAGTAGATATTGTAGAATCAATATCGTTTTCGACGACAATGTTCTTATGCTACCTTCCATCACTTTGTGAACAAGAATCGTCTCAATCCGCATTAGTCCGATGTGGACAATATCGTTTTGAATTTGCGAACAAACCCCACTTCAACTCTATGAAGAATAACTTCATGGCGCAGTTACATAGTTTACTAAAACATGGCAATTGCAAAGCTATAGCTTCAGTTTAGGTATTAAAATAGAAGAAGTTCAAATCACTAAAGATATTTCACATAAATACAGCGTTGTCATCCTATAAGGATCCTCGCATCTCTTAGATAAGAACTAGTTAAATCTTTATTTGTATAATAATTTTCGAAAGAACAATGAAGGCAAATTTAAATGGAAATTGATAGTCGGCTCGACTTTTTTAACCCAATATTAAAATAAATCAACTGATTAACCGAAGAGTGCATACTCCACTATCGCGGGACCATCGGACAATTCGAAATAAAAATCCATGATAGACTTGGTAGTTATATTGGCGACTGATTTCTGTGATCAACGTGGTACACATAAACTGATTATATAACCATAGCATCATCATATTGTGGCGTTTGCGGCACTTAGCGATACAGCGAAAATGCTTGATTCGCCTTAGCCAATTTCCGCACACAATAGTTCCCTTTCTTCCCCGTTCGCTCGTTGCTGCGAAGTGGGGAGGACAGCTATGGAAATTTGCCGCATGTCACATCTGAAGACTGTCAATAATCATCGCTATACACTTTTGTTCTAAGTGAGATGAACCGCCTTGAGCCGACTGGAAACGCTACGGCGTACTACAGAAATAAAGCTTGAATAGGCAAGTGGTTTACATTGTTTTAGCCACGAAACTTTCATAAATTTCCGACCACAACTACTGTTGGTTGGAACATCTACTGCTTTCTAAATAGCCTCTGTTGCCTTGCCTTTCATAACCATTTTTCCTCACAAAAGCTAGACTAGAATAAAGGGATTCAAACATTGTCGGGCTGTTGAAGTTATGTCTGGACGAATTTATTTCTAAAATTGCCTGAAATGATCTTAAAAAATAGTAAGCCGTTAAAAAAGATACCCGTTGTAAACCATCCATTTTAGAGCTCACGGCAAACGCCTTGAAAGAGAACGAAATCGCAAGGGATATTTTCAAATTTCTATGACACTGCGTTTCGAGATTCTTTTAACTAAATATGTATAAATATATTTATCTTCTATTACTTATTGACTTTCTTATATTGTTCATTTCGTACTTTTAGCTCACGGCCACTATTTTTTTAGAACGGCCCGACTATGTATCATACAAATATAAATTAAAACACGACTGAAGTACCAAATCCTTTGAATGAACCCTTTATGGTGAGCTCATGGTTCTTTTTTGTGTGTAACAAAATTAGTTTGCACGATAGTACGATTGTATTTCACAAATTATTAGTTTTTTTCATTTTTTATCTTGTCTATAAGTGACTTAATTTTGTTTTGTAATAACTTTGTTAGTTTTTTTTTGAAGAAGGAAAAGTTTTTCCACTATTCAGAGTTGAAGAAAACAATTTTTCTCATTACCTCGTTTATCGATTTCTCTGTTTATTATTCCATATCGAATTTTTAGTTCTCCGCATGGTGTTTTTTTTTGTCATTTTTATTCGGGCATTTCGCTGATATCTTGTAGACGGATCAATTTAGCTTTTTTAGCCGGCAGAAACGATTAATTACTTATAGACACCGGGAACGAATGCTTCTTTAGTTTTCTAAAAATCACTAGTTTTGCACTTATAAAAGTTATTACAAGTTATTTATATTAAAGCTATTTATGCATATATTTGTATTATATCCATTGCAACCCGACCATGCTGATCTGATGATATGTCCTCATCCCGCAACCGGTAACCTCTAGCTCCCAGCAGGTTGAATTTACCATCGCGTTTTTTAGGCGTCCTTGCGGTCTTATAATACGCGTGTCTAAAAGCAATTGAAGGATTCCACAACTTTCGCGTTTGACGTTTTTGATGGGCTTCAAAGCACAAGTCCATAACAAGACGATCAGATATCTCACCGTTCCAAAGCACAACCAGTTATCGTCGCAGTACTTGGCCAGTAACAATGGGGTGATTTTAACCTTTCTTGCGAATAGGAAAAGCCGTGCTTTCCTGGACTTCACCCATAAGTCTGCACATCGCAGCCGTGTACGGGTCCAGAAAATAGCAGATTACTAGCCAGCGTACAGTTCTGTTTACGTCTAAATGGTCACGATAACAGAATGGGAATATCAAGGTTTCAGTTAATCCTGGCCGTACTGATTGTGATCCCTTCGCACTGGTTTGGCAGAATGTGCCTTCGTTGAGAGTGGAGCCACTGATTGTCCGTCTTTCCAACAACATTTGTTTTGCTGTCATCCACCGAGGACTGACCAGTTGATGCGCCCTTACTGATGCACTGCAAGTAGTATATTTTTAGTGGCGGGTATGCGGGTTGGTCGATCCATGTTAATACATCTGGAGCCTGTCACTTTATTTTAACGTGCCTTGACAACGGCAACGTGCGGGCGCTGCTTGTCGATATATACCCTTTTTCGTAACGGCGACATACTTTTTGATGGGTGCGCATCCAAGAGCAATTCCTCTGGCATGTATTCTCAAACCACACGAACTAACTCGGACATAAGAATTTATTCTTGCTGCTGTGACAAAGTTAAGAAAAGTTGCTGACTTTGCGGTTTTTTGGAAATTTATTAGGATTATACAATTCGTGCACCGCCATTAGCTCACCTAACAGTAATCATCATTTAATATGCAGAACTTTTGGTAGCGTGTCTCTGTCTTACTTAGTCTTACTCTGTCACTTAGAGGAATAGTCGTATCGTTCATTCTTGAAGCCTTTACACGTAGTTGTTTTTTTTATACACGCAAGTCGTACCACAGTTCAAACGTCCCTAACAGATACTGACGCCCTTTTGGCATTGTCTGATCGGTCGACCAACCATGAGCCTTATCAAAATAAGACCGAAATTCTTCGACCTGCCTTTCGAGTTGGGTCTCGTCATCGCCAATTCCGGCGAAGCGCCATCCAGTCGTTCCAACAACCAACGAACGTGTCCGCGTTGCTAGCCATTCCACCAGCAAATTAAGCAGGCTGATTTAGCTTTGATGTTAGCCGGCAGGAACAGTCACTTGGCAGTTTTCGGCTTTGCGCTTACATAGAAACAGATGAATTCATATATTTATGCAATCATCATTATTATTGCAGTATATTTACTGTATTGCAGTATATAATATAATTAGGAAACTTTCACCTTAATATTTAAATGTTATTTATCTTTCGAAGAATATACTCTGTAGAAGTAAAGAACATTAATTTTTCACATCTTTATTGTGGATGTTATCAATCAAGATCAATACGTATTTATAACCGAATGCATTTCTCAAATAATGAGCTAATGATTTTTTCATTTTTCATGTCTGTGTATGTATATTTAGACCCATCGGACATCTTAACTCATGATGTTGATGATTTTATCATCGGCGACCGCGTTTGGGTTAATGGCTCCAAACCGGGTTACATTCAGTTTATTGGAGAAACAAAGTTTGCGCCCGGTGACTGGGCTGGTGTTGTGCTCGATGAACCGATCGGTAAAAATGATGGCGCCGTCTCGGGTGTACGCTATTTTCAATGTGAACCACGTCGAGGGGTTTTCGCGAGACCCCAACGTCTGTCACGTTATCCGACCACCGTGACAGCCTTAAGCGGCGGCCCAAGTGAGTCGACACTCATTCAGGAGTCGCCGGGGAAGTCTGTTACGACAAGGGTAAGCTAGCTCAATTCAAAATGGATGTCGTAGTACTCAATGTATGCGAATCAGACCTCAGCAGAATCTTTGCAATCGTAATTGTTCTTATCACTAAGGTCTACCTATAAATGAACAGGCTGGATAAAGTAAATTGTAACAAGTACGCTTTGATCTGACATTGTTTACACCCGGAATTCACTCTATGTTATTATTTTTATTATCTTGAAACAATATTTTTACCTGAGTAGTCCATAATTAAAATTTATTTGACCGTTTGTAATATCTGCGCATATGTTATGAAAAAAGATTAAGGATGGTTTGAAGAATTATCCAGCATGTCCCGGCAGATCACGTTGTAAAATTTACGCTCTGTTTAAGCGAACAACTTAACTGTCATTATGTGTAATATTTACTTATAACGGATTTGAATTTTATGCATGAATAACGCTGACTAAGAATAAAATGCTACTTTTCTAATTGAAAACTGAGACTTATACAGTTTGACCTTTTCTTTTTGCTGTTACTCTCGTCTCATATGATATACATTTAGACGGTCGTCCGACCATGTTCACCGGCAACTGCTGGTCGTACGACGCCGAACTCACCACGAGCTGTGATCACAAATACGGAATCGGTGGCTGTCGATCACGGATTGCGCATTGGCGATCGCGTCATTGTGAATGCTTCGTCAGGCTTCAAAGCAGGGACCTTACGCTATATTGGAACGACCGAGTTCGCTCAAGGTCATTGGTGCGGTGTTGAGTTGGATGAGCCAACAGGAAAGAACGATGGTTCGGTTAACGGAAAGAGGTAAGCCATTTCGACGCACTTCGTTGCTTTGTCTTAAAAACTATTACATATATTTATACTGTTTATTTTTATCTGTGGACAAGAGCCGTCACGATGTTCGTTGTCATCATGTCATCTGTATTAAAAAGAAATTGGAGACCGGGGGGGGGGGGGGTATATCCAATGTACGATACTTTCATTCATTGTGGCCTAAAACATATTTAACAAACCGAATTAGTTTTTTTTTAATTATTTTCAAAAGAGAAGCACAAGAACAAGATTTAATTCTTTAATTTAGTAGACACGATAGTTAATTAGAGCCCAGAGTGGTGCAAAATGTAGCAGTTAGTGCACGTTACTCATGAATTCGTCATTTGCATCACACAACGGTAAAAAAACAACTAACAATGATATCTGTAAGGGAAAAGACAACGTAACAATCTTTATGCAAAAGTGTCATAATTTCGACCAGAGCTGCACTACTTGTCTGTCTGAACGCTTAGCTAGCATTCGAATCATCCAGCTATTGTAAACTTTTGCTAGACGACTGAAAAGCGCAATGGCTAACCTAAAAACTAATTTTTTTTACAAAATACAAAGATGAGTGGTCCACAAATAATTAACTCACGACTAAATAACTATGCTTCTCCTTCTGCTTAAGGTAAATCATAGTCTTGAAAAAAATAGGTTCCTCTCCAGCTTCTTGTAATAAGCTAAATTCTTTCGTCTTGATATCGTGTTGATACTGAGAACATGGTCTTCGGCATGTACATATTAGGGTGACGAATAGGTTTTCGTTTATTTCTTAGAAGTTGTTGTTTATACATTGTCAAATGTTGCACACCGTATCGGTAGCCTGTTGTTTTACTCCCCTTGTTATTTACCTTTGCCTAAAACGTAGCTTTTAAAGAGACTCAAAAGTAAATATAGCATTTTCGGCAACCTCTTCGACGACCTCTCTCGTAGGTCAATAAGCTGCGGGCACCACTCAGGATTAATTTGATGTCTTGTTTATTTCAAAATGGACGTCGTCGAGTTAACACAAGCAATTGCTTTCGACTCTGAAGAAGCTCGCTTCAAACCATTTTTGATGGAAAAATTGTTAAATGAGATACTGTTGCTCAGTTACAGATTTCTCGTTAAATGCAATACAAGCATACTGTGCTGAAGGTTTTTATTTCGCATAACGACGGAATATAACATGTATTAAAAACGCTGACGTTTGATGCCCAAAATAGTATTGCCCTCTAGACAGGCAATTGAAGGTAAAATTTCGCTATGGGGTCGAAAGGATTTTAACTAGCTTCGGTGGCTTGATTATTGAAAAAGGAGCTATTAAAAAAAATAGCTTGTTTAGTAATATAACACGTGTGTTGATTCCTAGGCTACCGGATTCCCGAAATATTCTTCACAGTAGAGGCTCATAGAAAGAATGAATGCATTATTATTGGCTTTCAGTTCAGGAATTTTCGGTACAGGTTTTCAGGGATTCATTAATGTGCAGTACTGGGTGCCAAAGAATGGGCCGAATTTTAGAGTACAAAGGAGTATATTTTTGTTGTATGGAATTTAAGCTGTACGAAGGTACTTTCTTTGTCTATCTACGGAATCTCATGTTGAATACAATTATGATCTAAAGTAAATCGCATACACACTACAGAGCATTAGTCCTTATTCAAAAGATAAATGCTTTCCGCTGTTTCTAGATTGTAAGTTTACATTCAAAATGAGCTACCCGTTATTAATGTAATTTTTGTGTACGGTTGTCAATTAGGCTCACACGTAGGTGTATAAAGAGTGGCTCAGTTACCGATATACATACAATACGAATCTTTTGTGGCAAACTCAATAGAATTTTCCATTTACCTTAGGGCTATTCCTATACTATTTTGCAAGCTATGTAAAACGTCAAATTTCTGACATTTTCTGCGATTGAATTCTAAAATATGCCTGATGTTCTCACTAACCTTACACGTAAAGTATCATCCGTATTGTAGCAACACATTGTTTTTGTTTAGGACCCCTGCTTTAGCTCTAAATTGACCTTTCACTGTTTTTTATACACAGGCCTACGCTACTTTGAGGGTTCATCGAGGCATAGACCCCTATCCCACCCCATAAACTCTCCATAACTCTCAGCAGATTGCCGACGTTTACATATATATTAATTTCGCTTACTCCGCCCAGTTAATCGCCACCTTCGGCATGAAGCGAGACTTACGCTTTGTAAGTTACCTTTTTGCGGCTAGTCGTGTATCGCTGTAGTACACTATCAGTAGCCTGCGCAAATTATGTGGTGCATTGAGAATAATTGCGTTGCAAGTTTTACAGTCGATATTAAAGTTCATGCAAGGTTCGCTTCAAGCATCTTACAGGAAGAAACAAATAATGAGCACGACGCCACATTAATGTAGTCGGCTTTTGTCCTAGACTCTTTCGAACTATTTCGTTATTGAGCCAGTATCTAGATGCTCTTCAATGTGGTCTGTCCGTAAATCTACGGCGAAAACAAACTATACCTCATCATTCTCTTGTCGTAGGGGGTTCTGAATAAAGCTAATTCGTAAAGCTGTATGCATTACCCCACACTGCGATATGATTCACCTCAGCTGGGCAAACATATTCTATTGCAAAGCATATGATAGTAATAGTTTTTGATAGTGTTACGAAACATTGATTAAAATAGCTAACTTAACGAGCTACGTACCTAAAAAACATGGATGGCAATGCATCCCAGTGGCTTGTTCTGGTACGCTAGCCTGAACTACGAACTTTTACTTTACCATAATAATCGTAACACTGGATACTTGAATATCAAAAGCTTGTTTGTTAATGGTACGGTCGCTATTCTTTGTTGTTACCTGTATCTGTGCGTAAATTGGCTGCAGATACTTTGCGTGTCGCTCAAAGTATGGCCTGTTTGCACCGGTCCACAAAGTAGCGCGTGAAGGTGGCCATACGACAACGACGGTGCACACTACAACGCGAACAACGAAAATCACTTCACCTCCGCGTCTTCTATCGCGCACAGGTAGCCGAGAGAGCGTGGCCAGCGTAACTAGCAACATCAGCTCCACTTCAACCTCGAGCAAAAACTCACTGACAGCGGCCAGACAACTTCAGCAGCGCCAAAATTTGAAACCCCGATTAGGGGTGACGGCACTAGCAGAAAGGGCCTCAGCAACAGGACAACAACAACAACAACAAATCTCCCAGCAGCAGACTAGCACAGGAAGCAACAGTCAGGTTGGGCAGCATCTAACTAGTAGTATCATCAACGTCAGCAACTACAGCGGCAATAACGTATTTCGAAATATTCAGAGGAAAAAAAGCAATATTAAACTTGACATATTGATTTATATGAGCCGACATTTTTACATATACAAAGTAATCTAGGTATTTGCTATATGCCTGTGAAAAATCGATAGGCAGTTATGATTCTGAACAACGTAAGGTCTATAGACGATTTAATAACATTCGGATGTGTGTTTACAACTATAAGTTAGCATATATATTACACAGAAGTATTAAAGTATAATGAACGGTTGACTTTTGAGTATGCGCATGCCATCGTTTTTTAATCATCATCATGTGTGAATGCAAATTATAACACTACCTTAATCATTTCTTAAAATGATTAAGGTAGTGTTATAATTTGAATTTATTTCGACATTTTTCGAAGAGTGTAAGTTCCGAAATTCACCAAACATTTACTGTTTAAAAAAAGGATTAGTGATTTTTATTATACTTACTTCCATCACAACAGGACAAGTACCATTTATATCTGACGCGAGTTTTTTTTTCAAAAATAGCGGATAATTGGTCGATTCACTGGCTGGGCTCATCGTCAATGGTGTCATCAATCCCTAACCCTTAGTTCCTTTAACCTATTTTTCGGTTGGGACCACAACGTGGCTGAGCCTATGCACGCCTGGCAGCCGATTCATTTCGCATTGCTGATTATTTTCACAACTTGAAGTAATTACGTTAGAGATTCAGTTGAAAGTCGTAGTATATAGTCGTTATAATTACTAAGGTCTGTAGTAATAATTGTCGAGCGATCGTTTTATTGCTCTTTTGCGCAACGATAAATGTTATGGAAGTTGTATGAGGAAGAACAATAAGTATACTGGACTGATTACCCATATTGGTTGAAAATTACGATTGCTTTGAGTTTTGATTACTTACTTACTACAAAACACCGCACCATTTTATTGGCTACCATTACAATGACAATTTTTACTGAAAATTAGTTTTGCATCCTGTTTGAGTAAGTTTATTGTCTTTAATTGCTGCTGTTAAGTTTAAATGTATGACACAGATGTATGACAAGATGTATTCTAACAGCCTAAAGTCATTCGTCAAATAAGAACGTCTGTCTTTTTGTACGAATTTTAAATATGGACCTGTATTCTGTGAAGTCGTACGTTCACTTTTGCCAAACCGAAATCGTTGTGTATTGTAGATGTGTCAGTCTCGATGGTAATACTTTTGGCGTTTGCCTAAACCATTTGGATTATGATTAAGGTGTCGATGTATCAGTGCTACATTTTCAGAGCCTATGGGAGGATAAAATAGTCTAGCAACAAAATCGAGTAACATTCCTGGAACTTTGCCTAAAAGGACGATTTGTTTTCAGCCTATTAGGTACCAATGATAATACTGGGAGACACACATCTCAGTCGTAATCACAAAACTGAACGAGTTCATTTTTGGAGCCAGAATCGCGAGCCTATTTTTGGCCTGCTGTCGAGCTTCCGCGGAGAAGCACAGGCTTGCCGATTTGTTATTTGGAATAGAAGAGCTGTTTTACTTTTCCTATTTATCCAATATTAAATCCAAATAGACCACGTAAGGACTTTAAATAGATCACAAATACTCCCATTAGTGTACATTGGTCCATTACGATGTTTATCTGCTTATTTCTATCGTGTTCTTCCTGTTTCTTGTTTTTGGTCAGTTCGGATCCGCTTTCTTTATTTCGTTATTGTTTGTTCCATTGTCGCTAGCTGATGTTGTTGTTGTTGATGCTGATGATTGTGATTTGTTGTTGTTGTTGTTGTGTTCGTCGTCGTTGCTGTTGTTGTCTCTTCTCTCTGACCCATAACCAAATAATAATAATAATAATATGTATGCTTATCGCATGCAGATACTGATTTTGCTGTCCTATTCCATCTTTATATAATCGTTAGCGTGCCGTATGTGTTACTCCCTTGATGTTTTAACGATTGCTTTTAACTAATCATTCTTTTTCCACTGTTTCCGTTTACTATGTTAGTAATGAGTGGGATCGATTGTTTTCTCAGTAATGCCTTTCTGTTTCCTGCTCTGGGTTATTCTGTACTGTGACCTTTTCATCTTCGAACAATGTATAATATTAAGTAATATTTTTTGCTAGTGAATATATTCATTCTATTCGGTTTATATTTTTGTTATTCTGTTTTCACTTCTTTTCAGTCTACTAAAATTAAATTACTGACGAGCAAACACAGCAACCCTGTTCCCCCTAACGCTCAGAGCGTATTGCAAGTAAGTATGTGCAATGTTTTCGAGCAATCTCTTACATTTGACAGTGTTATGTTAGACTGCATTATCCCTTGAATCGCTCAATACGATATTACACCTCCGTACTTTATTACTGAGTCATTAATGAGCTTCCTAAACGGTTATGCTGCTGTCCGGTGGTTTCCGACAGCATATATGCGCTAAATATTGAAACAAATTATACTTGCTTTTCCATATGCAACGCTTTTTAAAGCAGTAGTATGTTTTCAGAATAAAGACCTTATTATACAATAATTAATTTAAGCCTCTGCCAAAGTAAATAAACGCTAAGAAACGTTAAGTTTTTCACTAATAATGCATTAAATATTTGTTTTTTAAGTCACACGAGGTTCATCGAGGCGACATAGTTCTCGTTGATCTTAATTACTTTGCCTTAGTTTAACCCCAAAGTTTTTAGCAGTTATCATAAACGTTGCTTAAACGGGTGTCAGTATTTCTAGAACGCTGAGCGTGGAAACACAGTAAAAATTGTTGGTTTAATTGGATTCCAGAGCCATACAACTTAATCCTAAGCTTGTCCATTTTAATCTTAACTAAAGTATAAGAAACTGCTGAAGTTTTATCACATATAGAGTAATTGAAAAATATATCCTACACTAAAAGCGTTCTGCAATCCTGTGACTACCGCAAATTCTCTAACTACTTGACAACAGATGAGCACACTTCTGTTAACAGAAATAATATCTGAACACTTTGATTAAGCAGATGGGTTTCGTTTAAAATCACTTTTAAGTGACGAAGCTAGCAACTCAAATTGGTCCCGTGATAGGCACACGTCTTAAAAAATCGCGCATTGCAGCGCTCCACGTTTCACTTGTGGCTAGTGAGTGGACGGCAATCGGTGTAAATACTTTAATATTTTTTGCTAGCACCAATTTCCATTAAGTTACATGCCGACGCCGATAACTGCAAAATTAAAATTCTTAACACATAAGGGCGATAAAAAATCTGAAAATTTGATTTACGCAGCCATTCATTCATTCATGCATCCGTGGCTTATGGCTGCAAAGCTCAATAAGCACAGAGACAGAAAGTGTGTGTGTGTTAATCATTCTACAACTGATAATTATTCACGGATCAGCTGTGCAACGAAAATAATGATAGATGATTCGTGTTGTTGGGTGAAGAATGCGTTTGTAAGTCTCAAGATCACCTCAGCCCACCGTCGTCAGCAGATACAAGATTTGCCGAAGCGTTCCATATTATATCTGGTGCTTCGTGGGTCATGTGTGGTTAACAAATATGTGTTATAGTGCGAAGCCCGGCAATCTCTATCGTTCGAGCTTACGCCGTCAGCAAGACTATCCTCTGGACGCCAATTGATTAACTCTGGCATTGCTGAGGATAATATTGAGGATAACTAATCAATTAACAAAGGCCCTTTGCTTTCGTGCATAAATTGCTTGGGACACTGATAAAATACACCTGTCTTGAAATATAGTATTTAAACTATGGGGGTCACACACAGAAAGAAAATGTTAGTATTCGGCCTCTAAAGGAATAAGAGTCATCTACGAAGGTTGCTTTCTAGTACAGTAGTATGAATGGCATTGTTATTATGCATGTTAAAATAGGTAACACTTGGAAATTGATTCAAGATTGTCTCGTGCAGAACAGATCTGGGCCATGGTCTCTCTACCCTGTCTCTTCTGAACTTCTTGCTGGCCATGTTGCACCATGTAATGGTCAATGTGGGCTAAAAAGGAACTAACTTTTCCCCATAATTAACTTAACAGTACTGGCGAAAACAAAGCTTGTAAAAATTCCCTGCGGATTACTTCATGGGTCTCCATGAATGCGCATTTTTACAGGTATATGTGACCATGCGTGTTTCGTATGTGTTCTCGAGGACCCAGTGTAAGACGTTTCTTGAAAGCCTCAGTCGTAACCAGCTCCTCTCGTCCGCTTGATTATAGCATTTCTAAGTCTCTGATCTTGGCCTCTACGCTCATTTGTTGGCAACAATTTCATCATGGACCTGTGAAGAGTCAGCTTCATCCTGCCACACGGAACGATGAGAGAACACAATAAAAAGTTATTTATTTCCTATGCTCGGTGTAGTACATCGATGCAGTTGTGACCAGTCAGAAATTGACCGTGGTCATTAATAAAAAATATAAGCTATTAAACTTAACTGGAAGACTTTAAAAGGAACATACGCATTCCTTCTACTGAATAAGATTCGAAACGTTTTTGCATTTAAGGCAAAGATTAGAACATCGTTGTTTTAGAAGTCATCCTTTAGTGTAAGTTTCTGTTGCTTCTGTAAACTTGATTGAAGAATATTCGGCAACGAGAAGAACTTTAGTTGTCCAGAAATAATGAGAAATAAAGTGAGAGCTATTTTTTTTTTAATTAAAAACAGTATTGTGTGTTACTTTGTTTTTTATATTCGCTTTAATCAAAAATTATTTCATTTAGGGCCACATGTGTCTACCAGTTGCTATTCCTCAGAGTTCAGCCCAGTTGTGGTTGTAGCTAATTTAAGCTGCTTGCTTTGCTATCCGGCACACGCCTTAAACCTACTTAGTATAGTAAGGTAATTGCATCTGGTGGGCTCGTTTTTTTTTGCCCTTTGCGTAGATGACAGAAGACAGCTTGAGTATTCGGATGTGTTAAAAATGAAGAGAATTCATTCAACAAAACTTTGTCGACACAGCGAAAAAACTGGAAATGAAAATTAAGTAAAACACGCCGATTGGCAGGGGTTTGTGTTGTGAGACGTAATCATACGCACGAATCACCTTTTTACTTTTTACGTTCACGGAATGATAAACTACCTACTTCATAATACAATGGTAAAAAAATTATCTTTAGAGGAATGGGATGTAAATAAACTTTGTGACCAGTTTCTGCTTAGGTGGAAAGAAGGAATTACCTAAACTCAGATCTCTAGTATTGCATATATTTACTTTAATATTATTCATACACATATATTCTCCACTTTAGAGATAACAGGTTACAACAGGTCATTCTGGCATACACCCAACAACTAAAAATGTAATCGTTGTCGGTTAATAAATAGAAGCAATATGTCTCAAGCAACATGCTCTTGTAAATACTGCAGAGCCACTGTATTCCAGCTTGTGAATAGTAAAAACCGTACAAGTTTAATATATACAAACATTCATATAGTAATTTTCTACACTCGAGATAAACGTGTCCATTTTAAATATAAGAACACATAGTGCTCAACGTGTGCAAGGCGTTCGTTGACTGTGGCGGACAAATTTCTTCACTCCCGTTGTAGTCTGTGGCCTATGGCGAAAGAATACACAGAAGCACGAAATTGGTTATTGATTGGCCAAAATGATGTCTCTTTTGTTTTTAGTACGAGATAGGTATAGAATTTTTTCTCAGGAGAAATTTCTCATGTTAATAGATGTATATTATAGAGGGGCTAAATCTAATCCAAACCGTCGCTGTGTGTAAGTGACAAGACAGAATGAAAAATATATATGTTTGAATAGTGTCTTAAACGATCGATTTTCAATATTAATTCCAGCAATTGTGAATTTCATTCAGAACACGCGAAAAGCAACTTCCCCGATTTTGTATTATAAATCTATGTATTGCAAACTCTTTGATTTAACTCGGTCTCGAGTAACCTTTTTAAATGATCCGCTTTAAATCGGCCCGTGTAGAAGCAACCAAAATATAAACTGTTTTTCATTTACGGTGCTATCATGATTTATTTCGTGGTGGTCGTTTTATTTGCTAGAGAAACAATTGAAAGCTGTCATTTTCAACTATAAAAGCTTTTAAAATACGAATTTTATTCTTTAAGCCCATGTCTCATTCTCACAGAAGAGAACGTATTTGGTGCGATACAAAGGTTCCTATGTTTCAAAAATCGAACGTCGAACATATAAATGGATTTATCATGAACTACATTGACTTGGAGGAAATTTGCTAGGAGAAGGTTAGTGGAGCTGAAATATTAACCATAGGGGTTGAGTGCTTCCGTGCTTACTAGTAGTGTGAATATCCCAGCATATGTCAGCACATGTCAGGTTTTTAAGTCGCAGGAAGCGTACTACCGCGAACATACTAAAAAAATCTACTTCGTACGCATAGCTATAACATACAGCGGAATAAGACCAACCGAGTAGTATTCGGATGTTTTGTAGTCTAACAATCCCGCTAACGATTTGGTGCTACTTCTTGACATGTACGTATGACACATAGTGGTCGTCAATCAGGCGCTATCATCACGTGATAGCGGTGCTTAGAAGGAATGACGGCAACTGCTACTGCACAACTTTTGCATAGTATCTTGAAGTGGCGGCGTACTGCTATTATAGCTACTGTTGTACATTACGGCTACAACTACAACTACGAAGCTAGAATTGCGTATTACCCCACTCACAATCTGTCGGCTGGCTCACTAGTACCGCTTGTATTGTTATTAAACGCTATACACCTGATACTGACGGCGATGGAAGCGCAGCTCGGGCAGCGCAGCCAAAAAACGTCGCTGATTCTCGCCGGACTAAAGCGTAGTGGCCAAGTAGCCCACGCATCGGTAGTGCTTTTTCTCGTCGTGGGAAGCCGGCAACGAGAGGGGGTGTCTACTCTTTCCAAGCGCGGCCGTAGCCTCGTAACGTGAACACTGGGGACGTTCGATACGCTGGTGCTTCTGTGACAACCATTCTTAGCATTCGCTGGTTCTGCAACTCGGTCCAACAACTTGTTGTTTTTAAATTGGCAGCGCTTGACGCGCGTTCCTCGTAGTATTAGCGAAGGGCGTAACAGTATCATTCCGAGAGCAGTTGAACAGCGGCAACAGAACGCATCGACGTGCGAACTTGCCTGGTTAGCTAGTCCCCCGATCGATTTCGTCAGCGGCGCAGCGGATGCGGGGGTGTCTGAAGCACCGTAAAAACTACATTGAGCCGAGCAGCAGCAGCAGCGGCGGCCGTATGTGACTGATACCGCTGTCGTCGCCGTTTCGCGACAACTCCCACTGCAACTTTCGTTGCGCCTGGTTGCGGTTCTCATTGTTATTGTACGTGCCGTTCGTACGGGTGTTTAAGTGAATCTACGAGCGGCCAGTTCTCCTTCTGTGTTTGGTTCTATTTGCTTCTGCTGTTGTTCTGATGCTGACGGCGCAGCATCTTTGTCCAGCAGTAGGCGCGCGTCAAGCACTTGTCGACCTGAGCTCCCTGTTAGCGTAGCTTTCTTGAACAGTTTCAACAGTGTTCATACGTTGCGCGTACAATACAATTTACACATTACTCTTAAGACATATGTATATGGCGTGGTTATGATGATATGAAGAATTGTTGACTAACAATTTGGACTTTGGAACTATATCGATTATTTATTCAAGGGCTTAACTCAAACAGCTACGTTTAATTGTGTTTCTGTGGAGTGTATGCGCTACAAAGCACATTCCATTATCCGCGGCAAAATAAACAGTGAGGACAAACTGGGACAGAGTTTTAAAATGGCATTTGACTCGGACTCAGTGGGGAGGAGTTTCCGCTTCAAGCCCATGGTGCGTTACCCGGTATCTAAACCCTAATCAAATTCATCTTTACCATAACGACAGTTATGCTATCGTAGAAACTCCTTTTCTGATCGAGAGGTTACTCATAGTACTATCAAAATAACAAATACACATTCGCGTTATCTGCGCTAGAAACGACTTTGTAACAAGCTTTAACTGAAACGATATTAAGTCCAAACAAATTTCCGTCATCCTGACATTATTTGTCCAAGTCAGCTAAACTAGAGTTGTTTGCTTATACTATCATTTGCCGTAGGTTATAATTACATATTCAAAAAACAGGTATGATAACTCTATTAAAGTGATATGATTCAGTGATGCGTATGTGTACCGCTTCCTGACGGTGAATCAAGCTACCACTGGTGTTAGTGTAAACAGCCATACATGGGACGGGTCCGTCGGTTGGCGCTAGTTCATGTAATGTATGTTTGTGGGAGAGATTGAACTGCGTGCTCCATACGGACAATGGGAAGCCTCTCTGAGTGGATGTTCTTTAGGGAGTTCACTGATCAAATATGGGTAGGTAGAGATGACAAATCTGGCTTCCTTGGCATTTTATTAACAATAAGAACGATGGCACACGCTTAAAATGCTACTTTGTTATATAATAAAATTGCTATGGGTGACTAAAAGCACGCAACGTTATTCAATGATAACTGTGTATTTAAGACTTAAGACCTTTTAATCTTTATAAATAGCTACTAAAGGCAAATATTAATTTAATACAATGTATAAAAAATTCCGAGAACTCATATTAGTTACTCAGACATCCTCAAAATGATACTTGACATTCGTTTGAAGAAGTTCTCTGGACGTGACTCTAAAGGTCATCAATCATCTCTGTTAAAACTAAAAGTTAATCATTAGGTGACTCAAAAACCGTATAATAACTTAAATTACAAGTTCGAAACGAGCCATCAAAAGGAATTCGCATCACGCGGCCAGATTGACTTTTCACTGATGACACTTGGATGCCACCGTGTTGACACCAGTCACGTGTGTCTGTCTAAACGGTTGCTAATTAGAGACAGTTAAAGGTGAAAGGAACTAATTTCTCTAGCATTTCGATTATGTAGTTCCACCCGTCTGAAGGCTGTACAATTTACCTACCACAGAGACAAGAATAAAGAAAAATGAGCCCGCTGAGCTAACGCGTAATACCTGTACGCAGAAGCCAATAAAGGTTCGCTAAGGAGAGTCTACTATTTATAGACATTATGTAAAACCATGTCTGACCAATTTTTCTTCGAGGCAGCTCTGGTTATAGCAACTTCTATATGAGACTAGGCTCAATAGTAATTTTTCTACAATCTACGGCAGCGAGTTGTTTTCGATTTTCAAGCCTGATATTTGGGCTTAGACTTTCGCTTTGCTTTTGCAACACGATGCAAAGACCGCTGGGGTAGTACTATGATTGTCGTCGTAAAATCTAGACTGGTGTAAGCAATTTTTTTCACTAACGAAAGAGTAGTATTTATAAACGAATTTATCGCGCACGTAACGGGCCATTTGTAAACTATGACTGACAGCAACGGCAATTACCAGTTACACTTAGTCATATACGTAGTTAGTAATCTCAGTAACGCATGAACTACGACAATTTTAGATGTTTATCGACTATCTTTGCACTTCGTGATTTGTTTTTCTTTTCTAGGACGCGCTTCGCGAAAAGGAAGAGCATATCGAACAGCTTCTCAAGGAGCGCGATTTAGAGCAAACCGAAATTGCCCGTGTTACGGCGCACCGCGAGAAAGCTGAAGCCGAACTTCATGCACTTCAAGGTAACTTCATTCATATTATACATAATAATAATACATATCATTGTGGTACCGCCATTGAAACAGGAGCCCATACGAATACTTGTTTTTTAGAGAGAGGGAAATCCGCGTGAACATGTGTTAACATTCCTATCGTACAATGCACAGAGTAGGATCATTAGTTTGAAAGGTCCATGTTTGAAGAATTTTAAATAGCTAGTTGTCAATATCCATACTGGTAAAGTACGCACCACGGCATTTCTGTCTCCAAGGTCCGTTAGATTTTATTGCTTGATCATTATCCAATTTTCTTTGTCGAAATGTTTAGGCTCTTGTCTTCTTCGAGCGCCGTTTATTCTCAGCGCCATCTATATATATTTTTCGATCGTTGAAACGTCTAATACATTTACTATTTTATCAATGGATTCGTCATGGCGCAGCTGACTATACAAAAGCAACCGAAGCTTCTGCTGCAGAACAGGCAGCTCTAAGACGGCGTCTAGCCGAATTGGAAAGGGAGCAAGACGAGTCGAAGAAGAAGTTCGAGGACCTCCAGTTCGAACTGGAAGAGCTCCAGATCATCACGGTTGAGACTGAGCGAGAGCGCCAAGACCTCGTGAAAAAGGTTCACCAGTATATATATATATATATATATATATATATATATTGCATCGTATAATTTTCGTAGGAGTTTGTACTAGTGCACATGTAAAATCTCTCGTAGCTTTCTTAAAAATTATTTCGTATGCCGTTTCTCGGACAAACAAAGAGTTGCTCTTCTGCGGTTCTGTAATTAGAACTTCAAGTCTTTTTTATTGACACATTAAATACACTTGAAAAAATGAACAGTGGTATTAGCGGCTGAAATAAAACTAAATAGTTTGAATAAAACGTTTGCTACCGCTCGTTAGGCCTTCCATCAGACGATATGTGTGGCTAACCCTCGTCTCCAGCTGCCCCCGGAGTAAATTTCGTTAAATCAAAATAGTAAGCGACATGTATGGCGTTGCAGGTCGGAGATCTGCAGACTGCTTTGAACGCAGCTGTGAGCGGTAACGGTAGTGATGTCTCAAGTCAAGCGAACCTTAGAATTATTGAGCTCGAAGCAGTGCACCGCCAGCAAATGGAGGATATTAAGAAAAAATTGGAAGATGCGCGTGAAAAGCTGAAAGCCGTTAAAGATATGAGGGTATGACGTCTATTGTGAACGCATAATAATTTAGGTAATAGTAAATACGTTGTGCTTAAACGGCGCTTTTAGTGTTGGTGGTTCTTTCTAATTAACAGGCCGAACACAGCCCGTCCTGACCCTTTATTTGTTTGCCCGCTATGCGCTGATTCATTTTGTCATAAGATAAAAACTCGTAGCTGCGGCTGGTAAGGCCACGATCTTTTCTGAATTATACTTTGGGGTTTTATCAAAGACTATCTCTCAAAAGGATGAAAATAAAAAAAAAAACAAAATGAGACTTACCAGCGTTTGCATTTTCACTTTGACGTCCTAAGTTTGGACATATTTCTAACATACTAAGAAAAGTTAATAGATTTGTATATTATACAAGAGCCTGACAAAACGTAGTTCCCTACAGAACAAATTATCAAGCATACAATGATTGGGCAACTTAGCATTTATGCACAGCATGTGAGGCTCGTAGTAAACAAGATCCAAAACACATAGTACGTGCATTTGAAGACTACTATATTCAGAGATTACGTCGATAGACATTTTAAATACAAGCCATAATACGCTCAGTGCGCTATTTTTGCAGGAAAATGATAATAATTCTCACAAAGAGACTGAAAAAGCTATAAGCCTAAAGCAAGAACAACTGAAAACGTTAAACAATGAGCTTAGTAACAGCAGAAGGGAGTGCGAGAGTCTTCGGGCTAAGGTTGAACAGCTCGAAAGCGAACTGTTTGAAATGGCTGAAAAGAATCAAGACACTAGGTCGGACGAAATCGAAGAATTGCGCAGCAAATTAACGGGTAAATAGAACCGGCGCATATCTTTATATTTCTGTACTAAAAATGGAGCCAATGCTCGTCGTCTTCCTTATATTACTTATTTAATCATGTAGACTACTGGTTATTAGAAACTGCTCACCTGGTACCATTATGCATTTTTACACTATATTCGGTGTTTCTCGCCATAATAGATTTGCTCTATATTGGTGTATGTTTGCAGTAATCTGCAGTTTTACAGTAAATCTAAGGTCTGTGTTGTTTTCTGTAACGATTTGTTTAAATTTTAAAGAGAGTGATAGGAAGCTGATCGAGGAGCGCCAGTCCTTGCTGAAGACCCAAACAGAGAGGACCGACCTCCTAACCCAGTGCGACATCTTCGAGAACCAAATCAAGGAACTTCAAAGAACAAATGATAATCTACAGCAAGATTTAGGCAGGATCACGTCCGATCATGAACGATTATCTGCTGAATTACGTGACGAAATAGATGTGCTACGAAACAAATTGCAAGGTAGGTCCCAAAATCTATCTAGCATAGAATATTCCATATAAACATACGCTTTGGTTCACATAATTTCATTGTGTCCTGTTTCAGTTCCTACATCTGAAATTAGTGACCTCGAGGAAAAAATGAAGGACCAGGAGGATAAAATGTCGTCGATGAAAAGCAAGATCAGTGAGCTGTTAAACGAAAAGGAATCCCTCTCGAATGAGTTAGAGACATCTCATTTAGAGTTGGAAACGAAGAAAAAATATTACGAAGCTACGATAAAGAAAGGTAATTGATGAATTGTAAATGAGTTTATCTTAGCAACACGTGTGTGTTTTGCCGAAAGTTTATGAAGCTGCATTGACGATTTCTTCGATGATGGTTATTCACGTATTTTGTTCAAATTATTAATGTGCCCTTAATTTCTGGTCCAGGAGAGCTAGGTAAAGGGAAGAAGCAATCAGAGGTGGCCTATAGCAGTGCAGTTTCACTTATTATAATGACACCAGATTAACATATTATAAAACATTAGAAGGGTGTTCGTACAACACGTGTTTCATTTACGTGTCATTACGTTGCACTAGAATTCTCGGACTTCGTTGTAGAGAAAATCGAGAAACAGGAATGCCTATGAAGCATCAGACCGATCCAGGTAGGGCAGTATGCCTTTAGTCGTTATTCTGTTTAGGTAGACAAGCACAGACTACTTCTAACAACTAGCTTTGTTCTGCTAGCTTGTCATTCTTGATAGTAAATTCTATGAAATGTTGAGTGACCATTTAGCTTCATGTAAAGACTGGTATTGCGTAAAGTTGTATAATCTAAAGTATACATTTAAAATGGTCATTGGTCTTGGATTTTCAGTGGAGCAAGAACGTGAATCACTTCGAGTTGCTATGGAAAACACAACGGCAGGATTAAAAACAGAACTTAATAACCTAAAGGCACTGTTGGATCAAACTCTAAAGGACGGTGACGGCGTCCAGGAACGCCTTACTGCCGCCAATGCCGAACTCAAAGAACTGCGTCTTCGTGAAGCCAAAATTTTGTGCGATCTTGAGAACACTCAGGGGACCCTGGCTTCAGCGATCAGTGAGACAGAAATGCTTCGTGGTGATTTTGGCCATTTAAAAGTCTGCCTTGCTGAGATAGATCGTAAAAAGGTCAAGGCCGAACGCGAATTGGAGAAAGAAAGTGATCGTCGTCAACTACTCGAACAGAAACTTATTCATGTCGAAACGTTACTCATTAACGAGAAAGAGGTGCATTATTGTAAAATTTTTAGTTATGCGCTAGCTGTAATATTGCCCGTAATAACGTATCAGAAGTTAATTAATTTTTTTATTTCATTATTTACTTAGAATTGTTTACTGATTTACTGTAAGTATATAGTATAAATAAGATATAAAAAGTTTACGCTGCTTATGTCTAATTCCTTCCATGCATTAAGTGGCTACGTTTATGATGTTTCACGAACTTCACAGATATTTACAGAATTATGGGGTTTGAGATCAGCAGGACTAAATCCACGAGTTCACAAATATTTTCGATGAAAGCTTTGAATTTTCTAACTTTACGAAACAATTGTTTTCGTTGAATAACCACTAGTGCACTGCTTGAAAATATCATTGATTTTTATTTTATGAATACATTTTCAAGCTATCGAAGGTGAACACATGTTCAAAATATCCAATCATTCATAGCGGACATGGCAGTCTCCTAGACATGCGCACAGCTGATTTGTACAAAGTAAAGTCACTATCGTTCATTGACCATATGCATACGTTAAATATAATAACATGTCAAATATAGGCATCTAAACGGCGCCTCGATGACGTCGAGGAGAGTTTGGAACGTTCGCGTCAATTGGCAGGCGCTCAAAGCACCGCTAGCCAAGCCGCTTTGAAGAGGCTACAAGAGGAGAAAGATGATGTTGATCGACAAGTGGACCAACTTCGTAGAAGTGTCAGAGGTAAATTTTCGAACATCAAATTCATTGTTCTTCTGAGTAACCACAGACATTCGATGACACTAACCATTGGTGAAGCCCCTCAGATGAAGCATGCAAAATTTCAGCGAGATCGCTACAAATCGCCTTGTTATGTAGTCATGCGTGATGATTTACATTTACGTTAAGTATTCTAGCAACAATGATGGCTGACAAAGTTGAGTGGTATTAGCGACGTTTTTATTATTGCGCTTTTATCAGAAACATGTTTATATGACCCGTTGAACGACAAACACGACACGATTTTTAGAGGAAGCCTACAACTAGCTGATGGGTGTCGTTTTCCTTTCCTCGCCTAAAAAAAGGTTCAGGACAACAACGTCCTTTCAAAGCACAGCATCCTTACTGTTACACATCAACGGCATGAAATCAACGGAATCAATTCATTGAATAAGCATAAAATCTCTTGGTTATTTTCTTATATAAGTTAAGTTATGGGTAACATTTTAAATTCGTACACTCTTATGTCGCATTTTCTGAACGTAATTTCTAAGCGAAAACAGAAGCTCGTTATTTCAACTAACTCACGAGTTTTTTTGTAAAATTAGAATTGCATCTTTGATAAACTGGCAGACCACCAACAGAAGCCGATGGAGATACTGCACTGGGTTTAAGATATAGTTTTATGCCGTTACTTAAATTCAAGCAACTTCTCTTTCACTGTCGTCCATACAATCACATGCTACAATTACCGCGATGCAGACTATCAGGAACAGCTAGATGAGGAGAAGCGATGCGGTAAAAGACTCGAAGAAAGCAACAGCCAGTTAGGTGAACAACTCGAATCACTGCGAAAACTCGTAGAGTCAACAGCTACTGACAAGGATCGTGATCTAGGGTTGCTTCTAGCGCAACTGGAAGAAAAGCGCCGATATGAGGATAAACTTCAGGGCGAACTAGTTGACGCAATCAACGATAGCGAGCGTCTCCGAAGAGAACATTCTGAACAAAGAAAACAATTGGAAGATATGGTAAGTCACCTCACCCTACTCAACGGAAAGTGATCCATACGGGAATAGATCTTTCTGTAAATCATTTTAGACCTCCTAAAGAACCCAATGTCAATAGAAAACTACACTGCTATTTAGATTAATTTTTATTTCACATCTCATCAATAGCGACGATTCGGAAGATCCAGACACTTCGTTCACACACGCTATATTCCACCGTTATTGTTCATTATGTCCTTATTTGTTTTATTTTTTTTTCACTAGAACTGCCGCTACGTTCTACTTAGAAATTTAAACAAATATTTGACGTGCTTCCGCGAACGTGTAAATGTCAGGCACCGCTGTTAGGCATTCCATGAGACAGCTGGCTCCCGGCACTTCTAACTTACGTGCCCTAAAATTAGCAGGCACATGCGTTATTTACTAAGCTGACACGGGAACTGTAACGCTCTGACCACATTAAAGCAAAGTACACTGCGTCGCTTGTTGTAGTATGTAATAAAAAACCTTTCTACATCACAAGTATATACCGCATAATAGGAATTTATCATTGTTTATTGGATCAACGTAGCTTAATATGAACTACAAATACAGTGAACATTGCTGACATGGGTATTGTGCGACAGAAATGCCAGCTGGATAAAAAGTCGGAACAACTCATTCGGGCAGAGAAGTCGTTACGAAAGAATGAGGCGGATCGCAAAGAACAGGTTCTCAACTTTAAAGGACAAATGGAAGGACTCAGGAATGAATTCGACAGGTATTTTTGCACCAGTAAAAATCAGTATAAAAAGTAGTCCTGGCATCCTTTGCATATATTTCCTTTTATATTTTCCATGTATATTACATTCTACATTCGTATGAATCGATGAAACAACGGCTCGAGCTGTACGAATGGGCAAGGGGCTAAAGAGTTTTTCTTTAGATCGTGACCCATGAAAAAAGGTCTTCACGTACACGATGTAAATGTCTGCTTCAAGCAGATGCACGGAATGAGATCTATCGTTCTGGTAATATTCCTCGTTTTCGCTGACTGTGAAGGTACCGACGAACGCTTGAGGAGCAACTCAAAAGCACTGCGATTACATCCAGCGAAATGTAAGTCTAACCAAATTTCAAGGTGTCTCAATTATGTTATTCAGAACGATGAAGTGTTATTAAACAACAAGCGCACTACCTTCTTTATGTATTTATTGAAACAGACTATGTAAATAGTTTTCGTGTTCAGTGTTTTATATTTGGTAGCGTCATTTTATATACCGATAACACGATAAGTAACAGTAGGGGTGCCATTTACAGCGAGGGACAACGTGAACTGGTTGAGCAGCTCCATAGGCAGTTATCGGTGAAGGAGGCTGAAGCGCGAGAAAGTGGTGACGAGGTAGCAGCACTGCATATGCGCATCAAGGATCTTGAAAAGAGGTTAGTGTATGTAAAAGGAAGAGATTATGGCGGCAGAAAGTAAACATGGCAGTGATTTTTATACTTCTTAGTACTGCTTTTCGAGCACCCAGTTCTGTTTGGCATTAGAAACAGCGAGCTTAGGTTCTTAACTAATAGCTACTTGCTATTTTCTTCCACCTTTTTCATTACAACGCAGTCGAAAAGGATTCGTAGATGACAACGACACTAGCAGGATGAATTGATTCTATTAATCGGAACTAATAGAACATGTAACTAAGGCTTAACACTAATATGATAAATACATTGTTCCAAATCGACTTTTTATAAACATTTCGTCCTGTCAAGAACATTTACAGAACATATATTCATATTAAATTGAATAATTTCATTTACATCTTTCGTATCTATTCAGCACTCAGTTATAATTTCAACAGTAGCGGCACAAATAACAACAGACCCGTGGCTGAAATGCCCGAAAGGCGTCGGATTCGAAGCATCGTTTAAAAGGTTCTAGTAGCCGCTCATCACGACCAACAGCGTCATTAGGTCGTTCTCGCATAAACGAACAAACAGCACTTAAGTCTTTCCTAACAAACGACTTACAGGCTTCAAATTGGCAACGCGCACCTTTTTAGAGCCAACGCTTTAGCCTATCGCTGGCAAGCGTTTGTCAACGGCATTAGCTGATTCATTAGTCAGTAGATCGTAAACGTGTGTTTACTAGTAGACTATAATTTAGCCTGAATGGAAAAATGGGTTCGTTGCAGGGCGCCCATCTTTCCTCTGTTTTCACATTTTCAGTATTTGGGTCTTAATGCTTTAACACATGACTCGCTAATGTGGGCTTACAGGGCCCTTTGACATCGAGTTCTGTTTACGTGAGCAATCTCCTCGATCGTGGCAATACGTTCTTATGCTTCCGGCCCCGACGTCTGGTCACTTTATGGCCGGTCTTTAAGTTCCAATCTGCGTTTTTGAAGCGTTTGTACCATTCATGTACTGCGTCTAGGGCCTTGATGCCTGATATCTTTACAATCTCTAGTTGATGTTGCTTGTTTGAAAATCATATCCAAACGAAGAAAGACGTTCGGATGACATTCAACGTACATCGATAGAGGCACCTAAAAAACGTGTCTATTCGATGTAATTGCTGTTCTCATCGATTGTCGATATGAGGCCCGAGCTCCAAAACTCCGTCTCTAAATCCTTGAATGATGGTCTATTAGCGGTAAATAACCGACATCTCAGAGTCTCTATATTTCACTAAAAATTCTAAGATGATCTGAAGTGACTTTTTGTTCCCTTTTTGTCACTTTTTTCTAACATCATGAATAAACACGTGCCTATGAAGAGCGATCACACTCGAAAATGGATCTTGAACGTATGTAGTCTAGCATTGTTATGATGGAAGACGACATTTTTTCCCTTTCTCAATTCCGGTTGGTTTTTACCAGTAGCTTGTTATAGTCTTAGGCAATTAAGGTCAATCGTATCAGCTGTTTTGCCAGACGGCGGCAACTTATAACGCACGGTTTCTTTCTGTTTCCACTAAAAACATAGCTACAAATTTTCTTTCCATTTGCATATTATTGTCGTATGTAATTAATTGTTCATCACTGAAACAGCTGGATTTCGTTGCGTTTGTCGAGTTTCGGAAACGTTCATGTGCCACTCATACTTTCTTCAAATGGTTCAGAACTGTTTGGTGGTCGATGTTTAGTTTCCTGGCAATATTTTACGTGATAGCCTTATTGGACTTTTTCGATATTCTTTTTAACTTTCCTTGCAATTGGCCGATTACTGCGAAAAGCAACAGCTTCACATCACAATGAAGCCGATAGAACTATCTTTGGGACGCTTGTTCCGGTGACACACCTTGACTATAAGTAGCACAGTTTTATGTGGGCCTAGGCAGCATTTGTGCTTTATCGTAATAAAATCTTAAAATATAGCAAAGCTTTGCAGAGATTTCACTGATCTTAAACACGCCCTATTTGCATTGTTCGAATGAAGGCGTTTCAGAAAATATTTATTCACACTATATATATATATAACCTCAGCAAAGTTTTCTTCTATAGGATGAGTCGATGAACTTTCCTTATTAACGACTCCAAATGTGGTAAAATCTGTTTCAGCAATCTTCATTTTATTCTTGGTGTTTCAATTTATTATGTAATATGGTTTCTTTGGTATATCATTTTTTAGTCTTTTTCCTTTATTATACGTTATTATAGATTCAATGCCAACATTCAGTGCCACAGAACATTACTAACCACCTACAAAACGATGCAATATACAGGTACCAATAATGTTATTCAAGTCATATATTGTTTCAATGCGAGACATTTTAACAGCAAATAAATGGAGAAAACAGTAATTAACAAACATCTTCAGCAGCTGCACCTGCTATATGTCAGGAAGCAATATATAACCTAAAGGTATATATGCAATAAGGATCTTCGTACTCCCATCTTCAACGAAGACATGGCTTCTCAAACTCGATCCCTTTTCAATGATCATGGTTTTGTCTCGACCTACTATTGGAATTTTGAAAGAATTGTTAGCCGAAGCTATCACCTTCAGTGTTGCAGGCACGATTGATAGCAATGTGTAAGAATTTCTCAAAAACACTTTGCAAGTAAGCCACTACACCCAATCTTTGCAGGCTTACAGAGCAATAGGACCAAATACAGCATTGTATTATCTATTAAGAATGCATTATTGGTCTTAGTCACATTTACCATACTGACAACATATCTTAATGGGTAGTGATAATACACACAACCATCTTACTAATGACTAGCTATTAATTTAAACTGCTCTTTTTAGACGATTCACAATAGGCTCTATATTTATATACAGACAAACAAACAAACAGGCGCAAGATAAGACGTAAACCGTACGAAATATTAGTTCATTATCGCAGCTTCTTTCTTTAATGTTCAATAATCTGACTGTTATTACTAGATATCTATGCAGACGCATTTTGCCACCCATATCTTATGCCCTCGCAATATCTCAGAAAAAATCAGATAGAACCCGGTTTGTGTTACGTTGCCGCTATGATTTCCCGTCATCTTCTTTTGGCACGTTTCGGCTTGTCGTTAATAAATGAAATATTCGATTACAATGATTTGTTTCCTTATTTTATCGTTTGGTTATTATTATGGTTAAATTCAATGCTTGCTGGCGGTTATCAATTCGATTGCCTGAAGCCTCGAATTGCAAAGAATCAAAAATGAGAATCTTCAGCAACAAAATCAGCAGGCCAGGATGCAAAATCGCTCCCAACGCTCAAACTCACCAACTAAAAAGGTAAAAATTACGTTTCTTTTAGACTACCATATATCTTCTTTGTACTCATCGCTTTATACGCAAGCGTCTTTTGGGTTTTGTAAATGTGTACTTTTCTGTGAAAATGCGCAAAATCAATTGATTTTTTTGAAGTTTAATAAACTAACTGTATGACCTGATTTTTTTTTACCATTTCAACAATTTATTACGAGATAATATCTTGATTCTTAATTGAGGTGAATTAATCCATATATTGTGTCAAAATCGTTTGATTAATGATCGTACTGAACTATCATTGAATACTGTTCAATCTTGGTTTTCTAATTATACGAACCTACTGTTTTTAAAGCTCAGCCTTAAAGTAAGGCTAATTTAATACTAATTCCAATATTCTATTACGATATTTGTTTCTTTTTATGCATTGAAGTTTCCGTTTGGCGATGGAATAGCAGCGGACGAAGACAAAGACTCACAAATAGATTTCCTTAACTCGATTATAGTCGACATGCAACGCAAAAACGATGAATATCGCGCTAGAATCCAAGTTCTAGAAACAACAGGACCTACGGATTTTAAACCATCCATTGCCGACATGTAAGTAAAGTCAGTTAAAACTCATTCGGGCCGGAATCTGCATTTAATAGTAACACAGACTCTCGCGAAAGCTTGTGTTACCGGGTCAGCGGCACATTTTGCCTTGAGTGACTTATCTTTTTTCTATAAGGAGCTCTCTAGCTAGTCTGTTTCCTCTTCTTCAGTACCCTCTGAATGCGCATAATAAATGTTGGAATTCTCTTCCTTAGCTCCCTTAATTAAGGCTCTTTGGATGTTAACGCTTGTCAAAGCTTTGCGAACGTGGTCAAGCATAGCACACAGGGCTATCGCGTGTAAAGGGCTTTCGTCGCCCTATTGGCGTAACACACAGGTACTCAAGGGAGCTTTTCCAGCCCGTTGTTGGTAGCTCTAAAAACGCCGTGTCCTATCAAGAACTGCGTGAAAAGCAAGTTAGCCTATCGTCAGGTCTTCCAAACCATTTCCTAATATTCGAGATAATATCCATGCTGTGGATTCCGGTGCGTGCCGAGAGATGGCATTCTTTTGTTGTTAGCGTTTCAGAGTGATATGTTTGTGCTCAGCGCAGTCCAATTAGCCACTCTCTCGCTTTAAGATCCCATGGAACTATCTCTGCATGAACTAGAGTCGCTTGAGTACCAACCGTTCAATATGGCTGAAATATTTATAGGGGTGCGGTTCATTGGGCTTTTAAAAGAAGCTTTTTTAAGGCTTTCCGTTGCTTTTGACCTATATTGGAGCCACAGAAAGAACGGTAAAGTGAATTACCATCTCTAGCAAGGGGCCAGCGTTCTCTGTAAATGTTGACGCTATTTTTTTAGGCCAACTGACACTTTCGTAACTTTAGACAGCGTGTGTTTTTGTAATTTTTCTCTATCATATTATTTAAAATGAATTTAGAGAGTTCTTGGTTAAGTCCCGTGTAGAATTCCATGTCCTATTACATATTACCTATTTCGGAAGACGAAATCGCCGCGAGAAACGCAGTAAAGGCCAGACCTTCTCGGGACAATGGTAACGAATGGGAGTTTACTGATTCTCGTCAGCGCCTTTTGTAAGCACTAGAGCAGTAACTGTGTGGGTTCGCTGTCTGTGTGATACGACAACGCTTTTTGTTTATAGCAGGATTTTTATTGTAGACCTCGTTCGGAGTATAATGTGTGTATAGGATGTGACACATGTTCTTCGAAAGTGGATATGCGATGCATCTAATGAAAGTGTCGATATTGATTTTTATTGATTCGCGTGTATGAAAATGAGATTGTTAACTTTAATAATACCTGCTATAATAGAAATATTCTTTAGCGATTTACATCGTGTGCAGTGCTATATAAAAAAAGTAATAATCATCATACGTATACATCTTACTATGTACGAATTGTACGTATCTCAATATATAATACTACGTATAATATACAAATACGGCTATAACGTAATATATAGAAGGCGTTGAGAATTCAACATTAGAGCTAACTACTTAGGCAATAAAGCCCATGAGTCGCAAATTATAAAATTCTGAATAGTTTGTAATATATCTAACGCACAGTGAGAGATTTGTAGGAATTTTACATCGCTTACTTAAGTTGAAACATAAACAAGGGTAGATTTCAAGCGAAACCGAGTTAGAAGTACTTAGCTTTCGACGAAGGTGTCTTTTCAAGAAAGTTGTAGAGATACTAATTTAAGATACTATAATACGTTTTTCGACAGCAGATAACGTAGTTCAACTAGTTGATTTATATCAATAAATTTCCGTGAACTGTCAACGAGTGATGCTGAGCTACTAAGCGAAGCTTATATTAATATTGAGATGTTAGATTCATTTTAATTACAACAACCGCTTTATAATAAGAGCTGAATGGAATAAAATTAGCTTTTGAATGCATTCTCATTTATTGGCAGAAAATGGACCAAAAAGATTTATTTATCTCGTGTTCTACGATTAACGCAGATAATTAATACTGGATTCTAATAATACCCTGTTGTAGGTCAAGTACATTGGAAAGACCGTCGATTAAAAGAACAGTTGTGCGAGTGCCCCGAACATTTTGCGACATTTGCGAAGTTTTCGACTTGCATGAAACAGAGGATTGTCCGCGACAAGCAAGCTATGTTATTGAGGCGAGCAGTCACTCCCATCATGGAGGTCCAAAGGGGATCAGCAGCCGCCCTTATTGTGACAATTGCGAAACTTTCGGTCATACCGAAGCAGATTGCGATATAGAAGAATTCTAACTACAATGTTTTGCTATTCTTTGTATCACAATTCTGATTAAATCAGAACTAATGACTACTTTCATGTCTGTTTACTTAAAATAATATGTCAAGTGACTGTTAATAGGTCATATGGACATAACAGTGCTGTACCGGTTTACCTAGCTTTTCCATAAAAACGCAGTATTTTTATTGCACAGGTTCAAATAACCAGTTCTTCAATCTTCTTTATCAACCTTTTTAATAGTCTTTTAATACAAAATGGTTATTTCCTACGCTTCAGCGTTTAACAAAACGTAATTAATCCACAATTCGTTGTTACGACACGAAATGCAAATTTACATTGTTACTAAAAAAACAGTTGAAAAAGGTAAAGCATATTAAAACGCAAGGTTGACTCTACTGGAAACAATATTTTCACGAAGATCGAAAACTGTGAGATCGATACTGAGATTAGGTGACTGCTCACAGTGTTACCTTAGATGAACATACTTTATGGCAAAAGTTCCCGCTCCTACCCATCTAGCTTAGCATGTAGTTAAATGAAGATATATCATTTTGAATATTTAATAACTCCAAAATGCACATCAGTGTTTACATTGTTTACACAATAATCATCTAGATAGGTATTCCTTTTTATGAAGAGCAGTTGCATTTTAGATTTAGGACCTTCAATTGGTGCAAATTATGCCCCTTGAACCTACTTTCTAATATTATTAGAATCTCTATATCCGATTTGAAATTATTGTATGACCTACAACAAAACGTCTTTCTCGACGGACTGGAACGAAGTGCTTGACGAGATGCGTGCGATTATCAGAGCTAAGTTAATGATGACCAAGGTGCCAGAGTTGCGCAGCATCTGAATTCCCACGCCCTGGAAACTACGCCTAAGCCCATTTTGCACGCTTCATGTTACGGTGCTTTCACGAAAGACGAGAAAAAATGGTTTAAATCACGAAAACTTTGATTTTATTAAAAATATTACCTGTCTTGTCAGCTTTAATCGGTCACGCATGCAACTTCCGTGAGTTTTTTTGAGCTAATATTTGGCATTGATATTTTCAGAATATTACTATATACATGCGTGTCTACTATAATTGCAAGACATTTTCTCCAGAGGTCTGCCTCACAAAACGGATTACAATCGATGGTTCAAAACTGCAGATGTAAGATTTTCTAAAGAAAAGGTCAACCACCACTCACGTAACACACTATTGTATCCATATGACCAGTTAGTTGTATAATTTTGTGTCGTAAAACGCTCTCAGTTCCGCTGGTGATATTTATCTACGTGCTCTCGTTCAGTTATATAAAGCCGTAGAACGCGACAGAAAAGGACCGAGCAACCGAAACTATTGTTACTTTATAATTTCACGACGAAACTGCCTAGCCTAAAAGGTCCTCGCCAAATTAATGTTAATAATAAGTACCTGAGTCCAATGACTGGCTTGTGCAACAGATGCAAATAAATTTATGTAATAGTTGTACGTAATAATTATGGAAACTAACAGTCTTGCACCTCTTAGTCGATTGTCTATATTCAGCTATTCAGACTCAATTCTCTTAATACATAATAAAGCTATCGGAATACAGCCGAAGGATTGGCTTGCCTGACTGTACAATACAAAATTAAAATGTTACCTTTTCAATTTAGCCGTTAGTTTCAATATTTAACAGAGAGTGCGCCTAGCCCACTAGTGTATTTGCTTATTACAGATATTGAGATCAGTTACACTACGTATTTAATTAACTGAACCCGTAAAAACAACCCGGCTGTAAATTAGGAAGTAAACCTAGACGTTTGCAGTTTGTATGATAATTTTAGAATTCGTTAATTCATCATAGTAACCCTAGTAAAGGGTATTTTATTTTTTATAGTTAGTTCTCTATAGTGGTCTTTGGGTCGCTAATATTAATCTATATCGCTAACAACTGGTAATAATAATACCTATTATGTATTTTAATTTAAAACAACACAAGATTCTTTTAATCGAAGAACCAAAAACGCGTCTTGACAAGAGACAAAGAATCACGAATACTCACTTTATTCAAAAACAAAGGCCGGGTTAGCTCTGTTTTGTCGTTCTACCACTTCCAACGACGTGTGCGGGTAGTAACGAGTCGTGTCAAAGCTTAATAAACCGTATTTATAATATCAGATACAAAGTTATTTGTGCTTCTTTCATTTTGAAATAATATCAGACATTGAAGTGGCGCGACAGTCGTCCAAATGTATACAAAGGCATACCGAAACTGTCTTTGCTAGTAACTCTTTGCGGTTGCTGATAACTACTAGCCAGAACAGCCACAAAACACTAAACGACTACTGCAAGAAGCCGATTAATTTGCTATTGACATTAACAGACGCTGACCATTTAAGCTCCTCTGTGATCAGCTCCTGCTGAGGCAAGTCGTATCTATGAAAGTACTCACCTATTCTCAAGCCTGTGCTAAACCTTACCAGGACGTGAAGAAGTTTCTAGGAAGTTAGACTTGTAAGACGTAAGAACAATTAAGTTGCACTTTCAAACACGTGAGAACATTGTCCTGGTTAGGATGATTCTGGAAGGCATTTTGCTAACTATAAGTGGACTTCTAATTCACATCAGGGCACAATCCGAATATGACAAAGTGTCCATTAAAGCTGAGTTTATCGTAAAAAGCTTCACTCTGCACGATGCGAGGCCAGGTAAGCATTAACAAGTAATTAAGAATACACTGCATAGAAGTTATAAAATTTCGGTTCAACATAAGTTTTTCCAGTGGACGCTTTGACGAATAATTCGATAATATTTTTATTCCTTAATACACATCAAGTACACGAAGATCTGACTCAATCGCAAAAATGTAGTACGATATAAAGTGGAAGTTTATCTACAATCTTTCTTCGAAACAACGGGAATATTATTTAGTGCCGCCCATTACGCCCTGTTTGCTTGTCAAATATGCGCGGCTATTCGAATAGTAAATGGTTATTATCCTTGACATTAACTAGTTTTCTACATTGATTAGCATTATCTCATTTTGTCTGAGGAAACTGCAATGTGTCTTATACTCTGAATTACGGTAGCTGTAACTTTCTTGCTGCTATAAGGGACCGTTGTCTCGCTTCATGTCACTTAGCTAGTTTCCTGTTCACAATGTAAATGATGATCAACGGTAGGAACAACAACTCATTTCTTATGCTACTATAGGGTATGATCTCAGCGTTTCCAACAATTGTTTACTGCTAACTCGAGTCAAAGAGTAAAGCACATTAGGAGAAACCGCAGGCAATTCGTTCCGTACTTGCATATAGGTGTGTATAGCAAAAAATTCAGAGGGAGGCGTATGAGGCCACGTAGAAGTTTTGCACACTGCCGAAACTCCGAATTCGAACTACCTGCATGAGGTTTTTTTTGTGGAAGCTGCCTCCTCATGCTTTCTATATCTAGCATATGTGACGACACTGCAACCAGAGAAGAATGTTTAATGCTTCCACCCGGTTGAGCATACTGCAAATGTGCTTTTACACTATCTGCGTTACGGCCAGGTTCTGAACTCACATTTCATGGTCTCATGTCCAGTTCTAACTCGCCTTTAGGCATAGATTCATCGGATTCAAGTCGGCTGAATTTCCAGGCCATGAAAAGACCTCAACGGTTAACGTTTTAGAGGCATTTCGCCATATGATATTGTGACCTATCATACATGAACACAAAGTTTTTATCTGGAAACGATTAAAATACCTGACGCAGCATTTTCCTCCGAATTACCTTACTGTAGTCTTATTTTTTCATAATATTATCGACAGGTTTCTGCATTGTAAACGGAAATTACGGTGCACTCGATTATTTTGTTCGGGTGCTAGGTATCACAGAGAAATCATAAAATTCGTTGTAGAAACTCATGCAGATGAATTAAGCGTTACCACCCAGAAGTTCAAGATGCAATTCATCTGCAAGACAGACCCTTTTCCAGTGTTCAGCTGTTGGAATTGTTTAACCCATTTGAAGCGCACACAGTTGTGCACAGCTTAGCCGGGTCTTTTTAGCGGGTGTCCGACAGCTAAACCCACTCAGGGTGGCTTCGTGGCCTGCCACTTTATGATGCAGTTAAAGAACCGTTACAGATACAAACTACCAAGACTAAAGGTAAGCGATTACAAATAGACAATACCAGTTAGTGATAAACGGAAACTATCATTATGACACAATTTGCAGGTGTATTTGTACTCTGGCCGCAAGCAAAAAAAAATATGGTTATTTCTGATGGAGCGGGTACCAATTTTCGGGTAAAATTCAAGGTTGGTCTCAGTCCAGAATGCGATACGAATACTATCATCGGACGAAAAATTGAATGTTCTTTGGAACCGTTTCGCCTTCTTACAGCAGGTGTGTAAATATTC